AACTGTGCCCCACAGGACTTTCAAGGGCTAATATTTCAGAAACAGATCACCAGGTCTTTCTTCTGAGGTGTCTCAGGGTGAACTCAAACTATCAACCTTTCAGTCAGTAGCCAAGCATGTTAACAATTGAGGATGTTAACCATTTGCATCACCAAAGGGCACTATGCTAAACACTTCTTAGGGATGACCAATGAATGCTCTACTTCCTAGATCTTCTGGAACTCCCCGAGTTCTTGTCCATTTCCAATCCTGGATCTCCAGTATTTTTTACCTCAATTCTTTGGTTCCCTACTTATGCCTGTCTCCAAATTAAATTTGATTATGTTAGCCACTTAAACAGTCTCTAGGAGCATTTCCACTCACTTGCCTTCATTTACCTTTTGGACATCCATTTCCTCAGATGCATTCTCTCTGTCAAACTACATATACCCAGAGAGGAATGTCATCCAACTTGCAAATTCACACACATACACACACACACATGCACACAGCCCTACACAGTCATACAATGTATTGATTGTATAACAGAAGGCAGTGCTGTGCTATGACCTTGAGCAAAATACTGAACACGTTTTGTGTGCCTTAGTGCCCACACATTATGAAATAGGGATAATAATGGCATTTGCCTCATAGGGTTGTTTTTGAAATGAAATATTTCATAATGTCTTCATGCAAAGTAGTCAATCTAGAAAAGTTTATTGATGAACTGGGTCTTGAGAGAGGTGAGCACAAACACAGCATTAAAGAAAGATATGCAACCTTGTTATTATGTGCTATCAAGTCAATTTCGACCCATAACAACTCCATGTGACAAGACAGAACTGCCCTATAGGGTTTTCTAGGTTGCAATTTTTAAGGACAGTCCTGGTGTGGTGGTAAAGATTAGTGTGCTGGACTGCAAGGTAGGTTTGAACCACAAGGTCGATGGTTCAAGCTCACGAGCCACTCCTAGGAAACCCAACACAAGGTCACTATGAGTCGGAACTGATTCAATGGCATTTAACAACAGCAATCTTTATGGAGGAGTGCTGGTGTGGCACTGTGGGATATGCACTGGACCACAAGGTTGGTGGTTCAAATTCACCAGCAGCTCCTAGGAAACCCTATACAGGGTCGCTATGAGTCAGAACCAACTTGATGGCACTTAACAACAACAGTCTTGATGGATAAGTCTTGATGGATGGAGGAGTTCTGTTGCCGTGCTGTAGTATAAGCACTTGAGCATAAGGTCGGTTTGAACTGCAAGGTCATTGGTTCAAATTCACCAGTCACTCCTTGGAAACCCCATACAGAGTGGTTACGAGTTGGAACTGACTTGATGGCACTTAACACCAACAATAATCTTTAAGGAAGCATACTACCATGTCTTTCTCCTAAGGAGTCACTGGGTGAAACACCTCACTACTCCCTAAGTCCCTTAAATTGGAGGTTTCACCTTAGCCCCTTCCCAAACACAGCCCCACCCTCTTCTTTCTCTGAATCGTCTTCTCTGCTCCAGCCTTCTTCCTCATTGGGTTACTCGTTTTCCTCTGTCTTTAGTGAAAGTACAAAAATTCCTCTCCTATTCCAGGACCCAGACCCTGTAGCTCTTACCTTAAAACATATCTTTCCAAATGAAGACATTGCCTTACCAAAGAAGAAATCTGGCCCATGCTTTTAACATATTAACATTTACTCTATCTAGTGAAACCTAGAACATTGACTTCCAAATCCTGGTCATTTGCTAATGAATATAATAATTCATTAAAATAAACTTACTTTAAAGTTTCAATAAATGCATTTTCAATGTAAATTTCATTTCACTACTATAGTTGCTGTTGTTATGTTCTGTCTAGTCAATTCTGACTCATAACAACCTTAGAAGGAGTCCTGGTGTAGTGCTTTGGGATAAGCAATCGTCCCCAACGTTGGTTTGAACCACAAGGTCGGCAGTCCAAACTCACTAGCTGCTCCTTGGAAACTCTATACAGCGTCACTATGAATCAGAACTGACTCAACAGCACTTAACAACAATAAGCAACCTTATAAATGCAAAGTAAAACTGTCCTCATAGAGTTTCCTAAGCTGAATTCTTTACAAAGGATGACTGTCAGACCTTTTCTCCTGAGGAGGGGCTGGTGTGTTCGAGCCACTGACCTTGAGGTTCGCAACCTAGAGCTTAGCCATTGCACCATCAGAGCTCTTACTTCATCACTAGAAAAGGTTATTACTCACTACTATAGGCAGTCCTGGTGTGGCGCTGGGGGTTAATGCATCAGACTGCAAAGCCATTTGAACTGCAAGGTTGGTGGTTCAAGCTCACCAGCTGCTCCCTGGAAACCCTATACAGGGTCGCTAGGGGTCAGAATCAACTCAATGGCACTTAACAACAACATAGGGAACTCATTGCTGCCAAATTGCCAAATCCATCCTGACTCAGCAACCCTATAGGACTGGAACTATAAACTATAATCTTTATGGGAGGAGCAGACAGCCTCATCTTTCATCTGTGGAGAAGTAAGTAGGGTTGAACCACCAACTTTGAAGTTAGCAGCCAAATTCTTAACCCACTGTGCCACTGGGGCTTCTTTCTATAGGAAGAAATCTTAAATATTTCATTTTGAAATTTAAAAAAGTTGCTCCTGTATTGTTTAAATGAGTAAGAAAGACGTAAAAGAATTGATGCATTTCAGATACGATGTTGTTGTTGTTATGTGACGTGGAGTCGGTTCCAACTCATAACGAACCTGTACAGGATCTCCGAGGTTGTAAATCTTTACAGGAGCAGAAAGCTTCATCTTTCTCCCGTGGAACAGCTAGTAGTTTAGAACTGCTGACCCTGAGGTTAGCAGCCTGATTCACAACCACAACACCAGAGAGGAGAGTATTGAAAGTACCATGGATGGCCAATAGAACAAACAAATCTGTGTTGGAAGAAGTACAGCCAGAATGCTTCTTGGAAACCAGCATGGTAAGACTTCACTTCTCATATTTCAGGCATATTGTCAGGAAGGACCAGTTTCTGGAGAAGGATATCATGTTTGGTAAAATGGAAGGGAAAAAGAGAAAGAGCCCCAACTAGATGGATTGGCACAGTAGCAGCAGCAATGGGCTTAAATGTAGCAAGATTGTGAGGTTGGTGCAGGACCAGGCAGTATTTCATTCTGTTGTACATAGAGTCGCTATGAGGCAATACTGACTCAAAGGCACCTAACAACAACACCATTTAAAATTGTCATGCATCACTCAGGAGACATACATCACAATTTGGTAAACAGGGGCTCAAAAACTGCCATTTTTTTTCATGGTCATCAAAAGTTTGTCCTGAGGAGGACAGGTGAGGAAAGCTTTTGCTTTTGTCTGTTACTAGTGTTGTGGGTAGAAGAGGAGTGGTGAGAATGAGCATAGACTGAAGGAGTCAGGATAGAATACTGATAGAGAGGATGGTTCACATGCAAGATTCTGGAGATTGATAGCAGGTGTCCTGGCTGACTGTTGCAGAACACCGGGGAGAATGGCTAATAACCATTTAATTGAATTGTCTGCTGCTATTAGAATCAATGGTACTATAAACAAATAAATAAAAGCCAGACATGTTAGGGAGCATGATATTTGAATTATCCCCCCCAAAATGGGCACTTTAATCAACTGATCCAGTTCGATACAGTCCATTGGAAACTTAAAGCCATTTTGTAACTGGTCACTATTCAGACTGCTCATCTCTGGCCTTTTAATTAAAAGTAAAATTGAGATCATCTGGATTCCGCTATGCTTTCTATGTACAAATCGTTTCCTAAACTCTTAGAGGAAAATCAAATAGATGGTACCAACCTTAAAACCTGTTAAAATAGTATCTTTATAGAGTGACAAAGTTCACAATGCTTTCTACTGATAGTGTTACATGTTTTATTACTAAGCAAACAGAGTCATTTAGCATATCTAAATGTAGTAGAACAGAACTCTATTGGAAATATACATAGAACAGCAATGGCTGGCAGATCAACACTTCTTTATTAAATTCCCACCATGTGCTGGGGATTAGGCAAAGCATCAGGTGACATGTTCTACCTGTAAGGAATTTCCTGGATGAGGTAACAGTTCATCTTTGCTACTTTAGTCACATTACATGGCAGATTTGTCAAGGTAGATATTTGATAGCCCCCATTGTCATATCATTTTATTACATCAAACACAGAGGCATACTTCCCCAATCTGTACCTTAAACATACTTTCCTATAGGTTTCAAGTGAAAGAAAACATGCTCCTTTGATTGTAACTGGGATAGGTTTTTTTTTTTAAATTATGTCTACAAGCTATAGGTATGTGTGGATAACCCTCAGTTTCAAATGCCAAGTATCTTCTTCACAACATTTAAACCTTTTTTAATCTAATCTTTTTGTAATTTGTGGCTGTGCCAAATAAAATGCAGCAAGCTTTATTTAAAAATTAAAGAGAAAAACAACTTTCCTTGGAGTCATCCTCTTATTTCACCTCCAAGAGTTTCAGGAAATTACAGGAAAACCAAACCTAACCATTTAGCTACATACAAGTATAACTCACATTTCATATTTCATCATGGTGAATAATTTAATGACCTAGTTAAACAAAAGAAATGGGCAAACTAGATTGTTATTTTTTAAAAAATGAATCTACTTGAATTTATACCTCAAATGTAGATGTACAGATGGATAATCTTGAAGCTATTTTTATCTCATTTAAATATATCTTCTTTCTTCCTCTTACAGAGATGAATATCTATTTTCATATTTCATAATGCAGACTTTTAGTATAGGTGCCTGGAAACATTTACAGCTGGGTTTCATTTATCATTTAAGCAGAAACAATAAAACGCTTATAATCAAACAAAACCATACCACGCTTATGATGCTATAAAACGCTCAGGGGAAGAAATCTGTATCTATATCTATGGTCTTTGTAATTTGACTACTACTATTTTTCAAAGACTTCATAGGACAAAGGACTATAATTTACAGCACAATATATATAGAAATGTAGCATACCTCACATTAGCATCAAGCTCGTCCATTACAGGAAATAGGCATGGGTGAGTTAGATTTCAGTGGCCACAGGAAATAGCTGGTCCTACAACAGTGAAATAAAAAATAGATGAGATGGAAAGATAACAACAGAAAACGAAAGTACTTTTTAATTAAAAAAAAAAAAAAAAGTCAAATGATCATTGCTTCCTCTTCAATAAGTGTTTGTTTTGTTGAAGTATTGGAAAACTATTTAATAAAAAAGCTATTGGACATATTGAGGTATGGACAGATTACCCACCCACTGCCCTCAAGTCACTTCCAATTTACAGTGACCCTGTATGGAGTCCTGGTGTGGCGCTGAGGAATAATGCACTGGACTGCAATGTTGGTTTAAACCACAAAGTTGGTGGTTCAAATTCACCACCTGCTCCTCAGAAATCCTATACATGGTCCCTATGAGTCAAAAACAACCCAACAGCACTTAACAATAGGATATCTGAGGCTGTGAACATTTATGGGAACAGAAACCTTCATCTTTCTCCTGTGGAGTGGTTGATAGGTTTGAACTGCTCATTGTGAGGTTAGTAGTCCAGTGCTTACCCTACAAAGCCACAAGGGCTCCTTATGGTACAGATAGATGTTGCAAAAATCTCCTTATATTCCACTAATTTTCTAGAATTGGTGTGGTACTGTAGGATAAGCACTGCGCTGCAAACTACAAGGATGGCAGTTCAAACTCACCAGCTGCTCCTTGGAAACCCTGTGCAGGGTTGCTATGAGGTGGAATTGACTGGATGGCTCTTAACAACAACAACAACAACAACAACAATTTTATGGAAAGGAGTTCAGTGGTTCAGTGGTTTAAACACCGGACTGCTAATCAAAAAGTCTGCATGTGCCCCCAGCCACTCCACGAGAGAAAGATGAAGCAGTGTGTTTTCATAAAGGTTCATGGCCTTTTGAAGCTTATGAAGCTATTCTACTCTGGATGGTTAGAATCAACTTAATGGCAGTAGGAATTTTCTGACTTTTAAAACATCTGGGTACTTTTGGTTTTGGTCCACATTGATCAGCTTGTTACATTTTACTCTTCCCCAGAAATGCACAAATACATTCTTCTGATTAAAATAATGAATTGCCTACAATGGTCAGTCATTCTATTTCCTTTTAAGAATTTCAGGGCTTAAACTTTTTTTTTTTTTTAATTTTTAGAGTGTGGAATAATAGATCCCATGGAGAATCCATTAAAGTCTTGAGAATACTCTGTCCAGAAACACAAATTGAATGGGTACACTTCCTAGAGTCCACACAGGAACCCAGGCTAAGGATTTCCAGTCTACAGTAAGTTAACTTTTCCATACTCTTAAGTTCCCCAAGCAAAGACTCACAGGAAGGCATTCTACCCTTCAACTGGCAAGTACTTGTTGATCCCACCCATAATGACCTTTTTACCTGAACAGTTTCACTTGTTCAGAAGAATTCCAACTTTTTCTTTTTATTGCATTTGCTCCACAATATGGGAAATCAAAGAAAGTAGGGGCAGAGTCCAGCTCTACCTCTTGTGGGACGACTCTAAGCAAGCCTCTTTTTTTCATTCTGAGTTTCATCTTACCTCCCTCAGTAAATGGAAGGTACAGGAAGAGAGGATCACTAGGTTCACTTCCAGCTCTGACATTCTATAATTCCATCTTCTGGTTTTCTAATATAATCTTATCAAGAAGAAAGTCAAAATCTGTTTATCTGTATAATAGAACTATGTAACTTATCTTGGGCCTTTGGGTGTATTGGCCAATGAAAATCAAACGCGTGAGCTTGGCAGCTACCACTAAGCTGGAAAAGACACAGGAGGTCTCTGAGGGTTTCACTGTTTGCTGTTAGGAGCCTCTATGCCTAATATGGAGGCCCATGGGCATTTCTGGAGCTAGAGCAGGGAGAGGGAAGGTTCAACCCACAGGACTTTGGAACTCTTCCCTGATCTCAAACAAAGTAGTTCTGTACACTTTTATCCATTTTATATTTTTGAATTTGAAATCATATTTTACTTGAAATGCATGACAGTCTTATTTATTGGAGTCACTGGATGGTGCAAGTGGTTAATGCATTAGGGTAATAACTGAAAGGTTAGAGGTTTGAGTCTTGTTAAGAAGCACCTTGAAAGAAGTGCCTGGTGATTTATTTAAAAAAAAAACAACAAAACCTTAATCATTGAACAGTATGGCTAAACTCTGATATACAAGGGACACCATGAGTTAGCATTTGCCCAACAGCAACTGGTAACCACTGAAGTGCCCAGGGTTCAATTCTTTTTCCTTCTCTATCTAAAATCATTCCCTGGCTTATCACATTTATCCTCATGGCCTAGGAGGCAGTCTAGTCACTGAAGATTCTCAAATTTATTTTTAAATATCTCTAAGCTGGATCTGCTTCAGGATAAGCACCAGACTGCCAAACACAATGTTGGCAGTTCAAACCCACCAGCTGCTCCTCAGAAATCCTATACAGGGTTATTATGAGATGGAACTGACTCTGTGGCACTTTAACAACAACAACATTTGGATCTTTATCCCAAATTGGATGACTAAAAAGTATTTGAAATTGAACTTTTATTCTAGTACTCCCCACACAAAAACATGCTCCTTTCCCTGTGCTCCCTGTTGCTGTCAGCTGCCTTCTAATTGGTTCCAACTCATAGTGACCCTATGTACAACAGAACGAAACATTGTCCAGTCCTGCACCAACTTCACAATCGTTAAAGTTGAGCCCATTGCTGCTGCTACTGTGCCAAAAAATACCTCCGGGGTGGGGGGACTTCCTATTTTTCATTGACCCTCCACTTTAAAAAGCACGATGTCTTTCTCCAGGGACTGATCCTTCCTGACAAGGATGGTCTTGCCATCCTTGATACTAATGAGCAACCTGATCCTACTTCTCTTCCAAAGCAGCTATGTGCCCTTTTCTGGCAGTCTTTCAATATCCTTGGTACTTTCAATATTCTTCGTAAACTCTGTAACTGAAATTAATCAATTCTGTTCTGATCTTCCTTATTTATTATCCAGCTTTCACATGTGTGTGAGGGAACTGAAAATATTGTGACTTGGGGAAGGCAAACCTTAGTTCTCAAAGTTACATGTTTGCTCTTTAACATTTTAAAGAGGTCTTTTGCAGCAAATGTTCCTAATGCAATGAATGTGTCATTTGATTCCTTGACTGCTGTTTAAATGAACATTGGTATCATGATGCTATTTACTGGTCCAGTTGTGAGGATTTTTGTTTTCTCTACCTTGAGTTACAATCCATATCGAAGGCTCTGGTCTTTGCTTCATCAGTATATTAAGTCCTCTTCTCTTCCAGCAAGCAAGGTTGTATCATCTGCATATGGCAGGCTGTTGATGAGACTTCCTCCAATCCTGATGCCATGTTCTTCTTCAAATAATCCATTTTATTGGATTATTTGCTCAGCATACAGATTGAATTAAATATGGAAAAGGAATATAACCCTGTTATATACATTTTCTGGTTTTAAACTATTCAGTATTCACTTGACTCTGTTTCAATAACTGCTTCTTGGTCTATGTACAGACTCCTCATGAGCAAAATTAAGTGTTCTGGAATTTCCATTCTTCTCAATGTTATCCATAGATTTTATGTTCCACACAGCCGTATGCCTTTGCATAGTAAAAAAAGAACAAGTAAACATCTTTCTGGTATTCTCTGCTTTCAGCCAAGATCCTTTTGACATCAGCAAAGATATCCCTAATTCCATATCCTCTTCTGAATCTGGCTTGGATTTCTGGCTACTCTTAGTTGATGCACTACTGTACCCATTTTTGAATCCTCTTTGGCAAAATTTTGCTTGCATGTGATATTAATGCTATTGTTTGATGATTTCTGCAATCCTTTCATTGGAACGAATCTCTTCCAATTGGTTGGCCAGGTAGCTGTCTTCTAAATTTCTTGGCATGGACACATGCACACTTCAAATTCTATATCAATTTGTTGAAACATTTCAATTAGTAGCAATCAGTTCCTGAAATCTCTCACTGCTCTCTCTCTCTCACTGATTTGCTGCTTTCGTTGCCCACTGATGTAAATTTTTCACTTGCTGTTTCCTCCCAGAAAGCTCCCATGTCAGGCACCTTCTCACTTCCTTACAGACAGTTGCTCAAACACCATTTCTGAATAGAGATCCTCAATAATCACATACCTAAAGACTCCATTTTCTAAAAATTTCTGTCCCCTCCATCTGCTCTATTTTTTCTTCCTAGTACACATATTACATAAGGAGCTCTGGTAGTGTAGTGGTTATGAAACAGGCTGCTAACCTGCAGGTCAGCAGTCCGAAACTACCAGCTGTTTGAGGCTTTCTGCTCCCGTAAATATTTATAGCCTTGGAAACCTTGTACAGGGTCGCTGAGTCAGAACCAACTCCATGGCACATAACACCCACCCACCCCACACACAAACATTACATAGAATCGATCGTTTCTTTTCTGGTAACATCTCCTTCACTAGAATTTAAGCTTCCAGAGGGCATGAGTCCTGTCTTGGTAATGGTGGTAAGAAATATGTCTGACACATTGTCTTCTTTTTTTATATATCTGTGGTATAAGCTAAGTAAATTAATTTGACAAACAAGGAAATGGAGACATGAGTGTTCCAGTGACTTTCCAGGTAGTTCATGAACCGTTCCAGACTATAACAGTGTAATAAAAACTGCAGTCCCATCTAAATTAGTGACACTCTACAGTGTACTAAGGAGTGTCAGACATTGTCCTCTTAATCTTTTTGTAATCTTTGACTCAAAGACAAAAAGACTGGGACTGACAGAGGATGGATAACTTGCCAAAGAAACAGCTATCACTTAACCAACCTGGGAATAGAATCCAGGTCTCTGAAATCCAAAGTACCAGTTTTATTTTGCATCGTTATTGTCTTAAATCACACTTTCTTGTATTGTGTGAAGCAAGGGAGCAAGGAAGTTTCATCATGAAAACAGACATTTGGTTTAATTTTCTGCTGACCATGTATTCTCTCTCTGTGAAAAGAGTACCTTGATTTTCCATTGTGGAACTACCTCTCATCAACTCTAGTCCATGTGTCTGC